ACACACACACACACACACACACACACACACACACACACACACACACACACACACACACACATACACACACACACACACACACACACATACATGCACACACACACACACATACGGACATTGAAAAGCTTAGTTGAAAAAAAAAACAAAGGAAAACGAAAACAAAATAATAAGGGGACAAACATATTTTTAGCACCGTAATCTTTGACAATGTTTCATCTTTTATTGACTAACTCAAATCCTCTGAAAATGGGTGGATATGTACATTATATTGCTATAATTTTACAAAAAATATTAATAAAAATAAATAGTTTTATGGATTAAAAAATATAAATTATCAAACATTTTTTTTTATGATATCAATTGAACAATATGTCCCTTGGTATTTTATTGCTTGAAGTGTCAACATATAAAAACATTATTTTCCATCCAAATATAATTGGTATCATGCCAAAATAACATCTTCCTATTGTAATATGGGTTGTCTATCTTATAATCTTTTTATTCAAGCAAGTATAGTACAACCAAATGTTTTCCTTTCTAAAGTGTGATGGATTGCAATTTTAAAATTATCTCGGATAAAAATATTTAATATCAATTTATTATTTAGTATGTTTTTTCCTCTCAATAGAATCATTGTCTCTCAAAATAACACAACAAGTACGTATTAATGAACTAAAAAATAACCACTTGATCATAATTTTATGAAAATTATGGCTAAGCTTTGCCCCCTTAGCTTTATATGAGGGATAGCAGTCGAATTAGACATTTGAAATGACAAAACAAAAACATAAACTTTGTGCAATACAAAAGGGTCATCTGGATGAATCTTTATTTTGGTTTTCTATGGAGGGGGTCCTTTCATTGTCCTCTTGCTATCCCTCTATCTTCTTTTTTCTCTCTTTATTGATAAGAACTCAAAAATACCCCATTTACTTTGGGAAAAACCTATCTACTACAAAAAAACAGTCGTTCAATTAATTAAAATATCTAACGGCATGGTTGTCCACAACAGTTGTATTATCGCCAGATTAGCTGAACATATGACACAAGCAATAAAAATGTATCTAAAAGGTGACATCGATAGATAAAGGTCATAATGAGACCAATAGATTGCACGCACGAAAAGGTCTTATGAAAGATACTAACAAAACTATCAAGCGACCAGTTTACTTGGGGGTGATCACTTCAATGATAACATTTAATTATCGTCACCTCATTTTTACGGAATAATACGTTGAGAAATGAAGATTTCATAAAGGACAAATTACCAACATCAAGTTGAAGTTCATAGATTATGATAGACTTGCTTATAATGTCGAGTAAGACGTCGAATATCTGTCATGAGCATTTTGTTCTCTCAGCAAAGTTTCAAACTTCATCCGACATTTTCATAAATTCAATTGTGAAGAGATTACGCTCTTCACCATCGATTTGTGACTATCGACTTTTAGTTCCTGGTTGGAACGGTTTTCTTCAGTTAGTTCCTGACTAGGACAATTTCCTTCCCTGCCTACTACGGTGGTTCCGTCATTTTGCTTCAGGATCGGTTTCGGAGCTCCCATAGTAGTCTTTGTGCTCGTCTCCGGTGTGTGAACCACAACGAAGGAGGCGGAAGTATCAGGGTTGCAAAACCCTCGTTTGCATATGCAACCATGAAAGAAATCGAATCTTTGGAGGTCATCAAGGCTTACTCTCAAATTTTTTCTATGATTAACAGACATTGAGGGTGGGGTATGTGTTTTAAAGATAACAATTTGTATACAGTAGATACTATTTTTGTATTAGAAAAATGTAAAGTGAAGGTTTTTTTTTTAACGCTCGATTTTTTTTTAACGCTCGATTTACTAGGAAAATGTAAAGTGAAGGTTTTTTTTTTAACGCTCGATTTAACATCTTGAAGAACTAGCTGGCAGAATACTTGACTCATGTTTCTTGTGAAGTAACACATTATTTTTGAAGTAGCAATACATGGGTAAAACTTGGAGTTAATATGTTGGTTATCCTATAGATCAACTAGCCTACTTATACCCATTTAAATTATTCATTATAAAGGAGACAATTGGAAGTCTTCGTAGTTGTGACAAAAATTGTTGATTTAAATCATATCAATGCATAATCACATTAAAAAAAATTATTCATTAATTGCATTCGGCCCCATAAAGTTTATGGTCTACCAAGCCAAAGAGTTTACGGATTTACGACCATCTAGCAAAGGTGATTGAAAATGTTTTTTCCTCCAAAATATTTATGAAAAACAATGAAAGGATTGTTTAATTAATCAACAGAAAATGATAAAAAGGTGGGTAGAGGGAGGTTGGGGGATGGTTCCACCAGCCACAGATAAAACTTCACTCTACCCGTGTGATGAATGTAAGATAGCACATAAGAGAAAGAAAATGTGAAAAACTATTTAAAAAGCGATAAATGGCACTCTCCGCCCATAGAGATCCAATAAAAGATA